TGTGTAGGCAGACAGTGTTGTGCCCGGAAGCTCACCACCTCAGAGGTGGTTAGTTGCCAGCTGCACGAGATGGCAGAAGGGAACATTTGTCCAGTTTCGGGACCAGTCTCATTCTTCTCCAAAGGGTCTGCTGGTTTGTATAAAACCCACTATCTCCTGTTGTGGGTCATATCGTTAGGTCTTTTCTTTCTCTCTAATTAAAGAAGCCAAGATCTATAAGTGCTTAGATGCTAGTTTCTTAGTTTCTTTACGTATTGTAATACCCAGAGGACAGTCCTTCTGGTCAGTTGCTAGGTTACAGAATACTGGGAGATAGGCAACAGAAGAAATGACATGGCCAGATCTTTCTCCAGTGCTTAAAGCTTAAAGATGGTTAGTTTCAGTGTCAGATGCCTGACAGCGTATTCTTCCCCATGGTGTTCTGTTTAACACCAGTGGTCCTTTGAGTGCCATGTTGTTTTGCCTCGCTACTCTGAGGGACATGCTGTGCTTGGTGTTGTGGCTGCATGGATGAATGGAGCCAGCCATGGGAACTGTTAAACACAAAAACATGTGATAGTGACTTGAGAGGTCCATGCAAAGGACGGTGCAAGGGAAGGGGAAGGGGCCCTGCCTCCCCGGGGAAGTGGAAAACGCTTGCTGGAGGAACAGTTGAGTGGATCCAGTGTAAGGAGACGAGAGTTGAACAGGGCTTGCGGGTGAGCAGGTAGGAAGGGTGTTCAGAGCAGAGGGAACGGTGTGATCAGAGGCTTAGCGATGTGACATGGCTTAGGGCATCCATGGACTGTGGAGCTACCCGATGTGGCAGCAGGAGGACACAGAGGCGAGAGAAAGGCAAAGGACTGGATCACAGAGCAGATCACTGTGAAAGCAACAGGATAGTCAAGAATGAACAATCACCATCATTAAAATTCAGCATGACATTAGCATCTGTCCTTTTAGGGCACCTTCAGCCCTTTTGTTTGACTTGGCACATGGCAAATCTAAACCAGAGTTACTTTAATTTCTCTAGACTCAGTAGAAGATCATTTCTTGAGGACCACATTGTAGATTGTTGGTGTAAGCACGGGAGGGTTTCAGACGAATGTGGTGGGAAGAAGTGTTGGTAGTGGAACCAGGCTGCCTGGCTGAAAGGTGGGTGGTAGGTAAGGAGGCCTATTCATAAATGCTAGTAGCAATGTAGATAGAAATGATGGTGATCTGAACTCAAAGGAAAGCAGAATAAAAGAGAAAGAACAGGAATTTCTGTTTTGAAGACCATCTATATTTAACTCAAGAACAAAAAACCCCAAATAATCTAATGAAAAATAGAAGGCATGAACAGACATTTCTATAAGAAGACAGACAAATGGCAAAGAGACACATGAAAAGGTGCTCAACATCACCAGTCATCAGAGAAAGCAAAACAAAACCACAATGAGATCCCACCTCACACTTGTCAGAATGGCCAAAATCCAAAATACAAGGTTGTGGGTAAAAATTCCTCCTCGTCCACTCTTGGTGGGAATTCAGACTGGTGCAGCCACTGTGGAAAACATAGAAGATTAAGAATACAATTACTGTAATTACTGTATGATTCATAATTCCACTACTAGGTATTTACCCAAAGAATGTGAAAACACTAATTTGGTAAGAGACGTGCATCCCTATGTTTATTGCAGCATTAACTTACAATAGGCCAGAAAAGGAAGCAACCCAAGGGTGAGTTGATAGATGAATGGATAAAGAAGCTATATACAATGGACTGTTACTTAGTTATGAAAAAGAATGGAATTTTGCTATTTGCAGCAAGAGGGTATAATGCTAAATGAAATAAGTCAGTGAGAGAAAGACAAATACTCTACGATTTCACTCATATATTGAATTTAAGAAACCAAACAAATGAACAACAAAAAAGATAAACTAAAAAAACAGACTCATAAATATAGAGAAGAAACTGGTGGTTATTAGAGGGTAGGTGGGTGGGGAGATGAATGAAATAGGTGAAAGGGATAAAGAGTATGTTTATCATGATGATCACTGTGTAATGTATAGAGTTGTTGAATCACTGTATTGTACACCTGAAAACTAATAACACTGTATGTTAATTATACAGGAATTGAAATTTTAAAACCCATCTATTTTGTTTGCTGGGCATGTGTAAGTATGAAAAGAATCAAGAGACCACACTTTGGCTTCAAAATGTTATTGGAGATAGCGTGACATTTCCAAGTGGAGCATGTGGGTGGGCAATTGGATATATACATTTGGCACCCTGGCTAGAGATGGAGGATGGGGACCAGGATGCGGGAGGCAACGCCTCTCAGTGATAATAAGGTCATGGGAGTATACATATTCACCCTGAGGGAGCTGCAGAATGAAGTAACACGAATCCTAGAGCAAGCCATCAGGAATATCACATTATCCAATCAAGCAGAGAACAAAGGGTAGCCAGAGGGTTAAAAAAAAAAAAAATCAGTGTCCTGAGCAAGAGAAGAAACTATTGTAAAACAGTATAATATTGGACTCAGTTATTATAGTGTATAAAGCTTGCAAACCAAGTTGTCAACTTTGCATGTTTTTGAAAGCATGTCTTATAATTATACGTGTTAGGAGGAAGAAATACTTCAAATTAGTTGAATGGATAAACCATCCAATTGACATTTCTTTTTATGAAAGTCATATTTGGAATTCTAAAATGCTTATCTGGTTTCAATATAGTTACTGAAGTTGAATGCATAAAACAAGGAATACTTGCATAATTTAATCAGAGGAATGCTGTTACTTGATTTATTTCTTGGTGGTTCCAGGATTTCTAATGACATGGTGCATTTGTATCTAGAATGGAATTATATTAGCATTTCTAGCTTTTTCCCCCCCTATTATAAAATGACTCAGGGTATTCATTTTAATGTAAATGTAATGTTATTAATAAAATTCATCTCTTTATTAATCCTCTTTTTAATGCTTTTAATTGCTATGACTTTTTGTTTGCTTTTTGCTTTTGTTCTGATTTGGACAGTTGATTGAGGAACATTCACATATCTTGGTCAGCATAGTGGTAATGTGGAAAACATATTGCCAGTAGGTGGTTTTGAGGACATGATGTAAAGGAAATGTTGGACGGTGTTTATAGATACAATTTTAGAATTTAGGAATATGGTGTAAAAGGAGAGTAATATTTCACTTGAGTAGAGTTCTCTTGACCAGTCACTTAATCTGAAGTAAGACGGAGATCCAGGGAGTAAGAAAGAAAAGTTTCCTCAGGGATCAAAGTAGATCTGTCTCCTTTGTCCTTAGGTCCTCACCCTTACAGGAGAGGCCTCCATGTTCTTTTAGCCTTTTAGGACTTTACTGGATGTGTCTCCATCATGTTGTTTTACATAATTGTTCTGACAGATCTGTTTGGTTTTCAAGCTCATGGTTAATTGAAAGGGAAGAGAAATTGCTGAAGTAGAAATGACACTATTCTAGGGAGGGGAAAAAAAAACCCCTCCCTTCACCCCCTCAAAATTCTAAAAGCATAGCAGTATCGTAGCACTCCTGGAGGTGTATATTGGATAAACAGCCCAGACAGCTGCATTCAGGGAACTTCTGAAAGAATGTGTGATCCATTGATCAGTGGAGGAAGATGAAATCATACTTAAAATAATGTCCCCCAAAGCAACATATTTTTCATGTTATGCTATTGAGAGTAGTCAATTTTGAGTGGTGCCTGGCTGGCTCAGTCAGAAAAGCCTGCGACTCTTGATCTTGGGGTCATGAGTTTGAGCCCCACATTAAGTGTAGAGATTACATAAATAAATAAACTTAAAAAAAGGATTTCAGAATAGTAAATTTTGATATTTAAATGGTATTTATTCACTTATAAAATGCCCAGTTCACTAACATGAAACAAGAAATGAAGTCTTGTATTTTGAAAGACTTTAGTGAATATTTATTTTGATCTATGAAATACGTTACGCTTATTTAATAATCACTTGTTACTATAGCATTTCATAAGCACCCACTGGGTACAATAACGGAAAAAGAAGACATATGATCCCTTACCTCTAGGAATTTGCCTTCTGAGAGGAAACTAAGCCTGAAGTGACAAGTTATTTTAGTTTGTTTCAGGCTATGGAAGAGTATTCAGAGCAGAGTGCTACATATACTATAGAAGGCTTCTTAGAGGAAGGGCAATTATTCATAGTTTTTTGTTTTTTTTTTTATTTCATTTTTGAAAGAGACAGTGTGAGTTGAGGAGGGGCAGAAAGAGAGGGAGAGAGAGAGACTCCCAAGCAGGCTCAGGGCCCGATCTCACAAAACCGTGAGATCATGACCTGAGCTGAAACCAAGAGTTGCACCCTTAACTGACTGAGCTACCCAGGCACCCTGAGGAGAGGCGAGTTTTGAAATGAATTTAGAAAAAGATGGGGAAGGATGCTTTTTTACATATATCGTTAAGACAAAAACCAGTGATTTTGTTTCTTCAACTTATTGTTGAAAGAAAATTCATCCTATTCCCCAAACCTAGTAGGATATTATTTTTATTTAAAATGAGCAAGGCACATCCTCAACTGCTATCACAACTTTGGTAAAGGAATGGAAGAATCATTTAAAATCTTGGATTTTTCCTTCTATTCCGTATTACGTTCCTGCTGGGAGACCACAGTCCCTGGTTGGTGACAGAGAGAAAATACTTCATTTTCATGTTCTCATTCTCTTATCCCTAGATGCCTGTGACCCTCCGCAGTACAACTCTATGAGGCCAACTGTTGTTAAATCCAGTTATAATCCTGGGGAAAATGTACAATTTCAGTGTCGCCCAGGATACAAGCGTATTATACCTCTTCTTCCCGTATCTTCTGTTTGTTACCCTAATAACACATGGACACCTCTCCAGGAGGCTTGTACAAGTAAGTGTACAGATTTTTTTTTTTATTGCTCTAGAGATTTCACACATTTGAGATTGCATATTCCACTAGTGCAGTGATTGTTTTCTCATGTGAATGTAGGTTTTAAATAGTAGTTTTTCAGTCCTCGAAAAATCCCCAAGGAATCTTTTTCTTGGCAATTGGTTATCTGGTTAAATGTGAATCTTAAGTTTGGCTTTATAATAGTCAAAAATAGAAAATACTCTCATGAATTCAGATAAGCAATGCCGCATTTTTATTTTAATTCAAGTATTTTGAAATTGACATGAAACAACAAATTTGAAAATTTTCTTTTAGAAAGATCATGTCAACATCCAGGAGATCCCATAAATGGCCATATGGTCAGCATAAATGGAAATTTTCTCTTTGGATCACAGGTTCACTATGCTTGTAATGAGGGGTAAGTAAATTGTTCCTTAGAGGAAATAAGGTAAATATTCCTAATTCCATTTTTGTTTTGCTTCTCTTCATAAGTGTTCCCATAAAGTTGATTGCATTTTCCTCCTATTGACAAGTCGTACTTACCGCCTAACAAGGCTCAGGCTTTTTATGGAAACTGAAAAGATGTGTAATTAGTAGGAAGAAATTTAAATTGAAGAAAAACAAAATTCTATAATATTTACCATATCTACTATAAATCTATTGTGAACATTAACAATGGTGACTTCATTTTTTACAATAAAGTGCACCCTATTTAAAATGGCCAACTCTCAGTTGAAGTTGGGCTTATAGAAATGAAAGACCAAATTGCCAACTGAAGATATTCTTATATTGAGAGCAGACCAAAATTCACCTGGTTAACCTGAACCGTTATGTTGATCAAGATCTGTTAGTTAGAATTTTGTGATTGTTACAGAGGTTAAGTATCTCAAAAAGAGGTATTGAGCACTTAAGAATAACAGCCTTTGAGGCATCTGAGTGGCTTGGTTGGTTAAGCATCTGACTTCAGCTCAGGTCATGATCTCAAGGCTCATGAGTTCAAGCCCCGCATCGGACTCTGTGACTACAGCTCAGGGCCTGGAGCCAGCTTTGGATTCTGTGTCTCCCTCTCTCTCGGCCCCTCCCTCACTCACACTGTGTCTTTCTCTCTCTTTTTCAAAAATAAACAGAAAAAATTTTTTTTAAAAAGATTAACAGCCTTTGTTCTATAGGGTTCTTTCAGTAGTCTATATTGGGGATACTGGACATGTATGAAAAATGTTCATTTAGAAGGTAAACGGAATACAGTATGAAAATGCGTCTGATTTTTTTTTTTTTTATATTGTCTTTTATCCAGCTACTTTGCTGAATTCATTTATTAGTGCTACTAACACTTGTTTTGTTCTGGTGGAATCTTTATGATTTTCTATAGATAAGATCACATTGTCTACAAACTGATAATTTTACTTCTTCATTTCCAGTTTGGATGTCTTTTATTTCTTTTTCTTGCCTAATTGCTATGGCTAGAACTTCCAGTACTATGTTGAATAGAAATGGTAAAAACAGGCATCCTTGACTTGTTCTTGATCTTAGAGGAACAGCTTTCAGCTTTTCACCATTGAGTATAATATTTGCTGTGGGTTTTTCATGAATGGCCTTTATTATCTTAAGATAGTTTTCTTGTCTTCCTAGTTCATTGAATATATTTACCATGAAAGAGTGTTGAATTTTGTCAAATGCTTTTTCTGCATCAATTGAGATAATTGTGTGGTTTTTGTCCATTCTGGTGATGTGGCATATGACATTGATCATTTTTCATATGTTAAACCATCCTTGCATCCCAGGAATAAATTTTGCTTGTTCATGGTATGTAATATGCTACTGAATTTTGTTGGTTAGTATTTTTTGATGATTTTTTGTATCATGGCTCATAAGAAGTATTGGTCTGTAGCTTTATTTGCTTGTAGTGTCTTTTGGTATCATGTTGATGCTGGTTTCATTGAATGAATTGGGAAGATTTCCCTCCTCTTAAATTTTTTGGAAAAGTTTGAGAAGGATAGGTATTAGTTCTTTAAATGTTTAGTGGAATTCACCCATGAAACCATCAGGTCTGGAGTTTTTCTTTATTGAGAGAATTTCGATTACTGATTCAATCTCCTTACTAGTTATAGGTGAGTAAGTAGTTGTAATTTCTGTTTCTTCATGGTTTAGTTTTGGTAGCCTTTGTGTTTCTAGGAATTTGTCCATTTTATCTAGGTTATCCAACTTGTTGGTGCAAAACTGTTAATAGAACTCTTTTATTATATTTTATATTTCTGTAGAATTGATAGTAATGTTCCCACTTGCATTTCTTTTTTTTTTTTTCAACGTTTTTTATTTATTTTTGGGACAGAGAGAGACAGAGCATGAACGGGGGAGGGGCAGAGAGAGAGGGAGACACAGAATCGGAAACAGGCTCCAGGCTCTGAGCCATCAGCCCAGAGCCCGACGCGGGGCTCGAACCCACGGACCGCGAGATCGTGACCTGGCTGAAGTCGGACGCTTAACCGACTGCGCCACCCAGGCGCCCCCCACTTGCATTTCTGATTTCAATAAATTGAGTCTTCTCTCTCTCTTGTCCATCTAACTAAGGTTTGTGAATTCAGTTGATCTTTACAAAGAACCAACTTTTGGTTTTTCTCCTCTATTTTATTTATCTCCTCTCTAATCTTTAATACTCCCTTCTGCTAGGTTTGGGTTTAGTTTATTTTAACAGATAGAAAGAATTGAGTTGGGGAGGGTCAGAGAAGGAGAGAGAATCCTAAGCAGGCTATGTGTTGTCAGCACACAGCCCAACACAGTTTGATCCTATAAACTGTGAGATCATGACCTGACACAAAATCAAGAGTCAGATGCTCAACTGACTGAGCCACCCAGGTCCCCCTGGATCATGCATGTGTTTTCATCCATTCTGCTGATCACTGTCTTTTGATTGGAGAATTTAATCCATTTATATTTAAAGTAATTACTGGCAAGAGGCACTTCTGAAATTGTGCTATTTTTTTCTATATGCCTTATACCTTTTTATGTCCCTCATTTCCTGTATTACTGTTTAATTTTTTGTTTAGTTTATTTTTACAGTGAAATGTTTAAATTCCTCTTTCATTTCCTTTTGTGTATATTCTACAGCTATTTTGTTTATAGTTACCATGGGGACTACAGCTAACATCCTACACTCTTAGCACTCCAGTTTGAATTTACACCAGGTTAGCTTCAATAAATTACAAAAACTGCTCATTTACAGCTTCATCCCCACCCTTTTGGTTGCTGATGCTGCGCTGATCTCTACACTAATAATTGTAATACTAGCTTCTGCACTAATAACTTATTTTCTTCTAAAAGATTGGTGTCTTAAATCATATAGAAAACAAAAATTTTACTTACAAACCATTGTTACAATAATACTAGCTTTTTTTTTTTTTAATTTTTTTTTCAACATTTATTTATTTATTTTTGGGACAGAGAGACACAGAGCACAAACGGGGGAGGGGCAGAGAGAGAGGGAGACACAGAATCGGAAACAGGCTCCAGGCTCTGAGCCATCAGCCCAGAGCCCGACGCGGGGCTCGAACTCACGGACCGTGAGATTGTGACCTGGCTGAAGTCGGATGCTTAACTGACTGCGCCACCCAGGCGCCCCAATAATACTAGCTTTTAATGTTGCCCAGGTATTTACTTTATTGAGATCTTTATCCGTACAGCTTAAAGTTACTTTTTAGTGTCCATTCATTTCACCTCGTAGACTCCCTTGGACACTTCCTATAAGCAAAATTGTAGTCACAAACCGTTGGTCACAAACTCCCTCAGATATTTTTTTCTGGGGAAGTCTTGATTTCTCCCTCACTTTTGAAGGACAGTTTTACTGGATAGAGGAATTTTGGTTGCCAGTTCTTTTTCTTTTAGCCCTTTGAGCTTTCAGTCCATCCACTATCTTCTGACCTCTAAGTCCTGATGTGAAATCTGTTGATAATCTTATTTAGGATCCCTCCTAGGCGATGATTCACTTCTTTCTCCCAGCTTTCAAGATTCTCTGTCTTTGTCTTTGTCTTTTGAAAGTTTCTTACGCTTTCTAGTGTGGGTCTCTATGCATTCTTCTTACTTGGAGTTTGTTGAGCATTTTAGATGTTTATATTCACAACTTTCATCAAAATCGGGAAGTTTCCAACCATTATTTCTTCAGATATTCTCTGTGCCCTTTCTATCTTCTTCTGATTGTCTTACAGCATGTATGTTGGCTAGCATATTGGTGTCACCTAAGTACCTGTGGTTGTCTACTTTTCTTCAATCTTTTCTCTTTCTGCTCCTCAGATTCCATAATTTCCATTGCCCTCTCTTCACCAATTCTTTCTTCTGCATGTTCAAATCTGTATTCAATTCCCTAGTGAATTTTTCATTGTAGTTATTATGCTTTTCAACTCCAGAATTTCATTTTGGTTTTGTTGTAGGTTTTCTATCTCCAGTAGATGTTTCCATTTTCTTCACACATTGTTTTCTTGACTTTCTACATTTCTTCCTTTAATTCTTTGAGCATCTTTAAGACTTTTATTTTAAAGTCTTTGTCTAGTTCTGTTAATTTCTGTTAATGTATATTTTCCTTTGAATGGACCAGACTTTCCTCTTTCTTTGCATACCTTGTAACTTTTGTTGAACTGTACATTTGAATCTACTAATGTGCTAACTCTGGAAATCAGATTCTCCTCTTTCCCTAGGGTTTGCCATTTTATGTTATTCTTGTAGGCTGTCTCCATGTGAAGGATCAGCCTGACATGTAAACTGAAGGTCTTTTCAGTTTTTTCTAGCCTTTCTCTGGGCATGCACATTCACTTTTACTTTTTCCCACACATGCAGTTGTCTTTCAGTGTTCTAGTCTTTAATGTCTGGCTCCTGAGAGGAGAAAAATGAAACATGAAATGAGGAGCAGAGGGCACTGGATATTTAGTCCCCTAGAAGTCACTTCAGGCTGGTAGAAGGGGGCTTACAAGAGTTAAGGGCAGGTGTGACAGCAGTAACTGCCTGCCTCACTGCTTCTCTGTGATCAGAAGCAGAGTTCAGTGATAAGAGCACAGATCCCCGCTATTTGGAGGACAGAGTCTTTTTTTGCCCACCCTGGATCTCCCAACTGCTTCTAAGCTGCTCCAAGAACGCATGCACAGCTGCCTGCTGGGGGGTGGAGGATGGGTACCTGACACTCTGCTGAGATGAAATTGACTGAAATCAATGCAGTTTACCTGTCCAAGTCTTTCCTGGGAAGTTGTAAACCATCAGCAGACTCCCTAGTTCTAAAATATTTACATCACATAGATGCTAAGAGTGAAGTTGTCTTCTAGATCGAGAGACAGATTCCTGGTGCTTACCACCTTGCCATTGTTCCAGAATAATCTAATACATTTTAATAGAGAATCAGTGATTGACTGATTCTGGGGGAAAATTCAGCTAGAAGTATTTGCAGGCAGTTTCACTGTCTGTTTTTTAACTTGGTCCAGTAAAAATATTGGAGCATGCTGTCACCATAGGCATACCTCAGAGGTGGAGGGTTTGGTTCCATAACCCCTCAATAAAGCAAGTATTTCAAAAAAGTGAGTGAAATTAATTATTGGGTTTTCTAGTGCATATAAAAGTTAGGTTTATACCATAATGGAGTCTAGTAAATGTGCAATAGCATTATATATTAAAAAAAAAAACAATGTACATACCTTAATTTAAAGATAAGTTTATAGAGACGTGAAGTGAGCCAATGCTGTTTGAAAAATGCACTGATTGACTTGCATGTTGTAGTATTGCCACAGACCTTCAATTTATTAAAAAAAATACAGTATCTGCCAAGTGCACAGAAAAAAAAAAACGCAATAAAACGAGGTATGCCTATAGTTATTTAGAGATAGCTTGTTAGGCACTTTAAGGAACAGTAAAAATTTAAGACCTATTCTCTTCTCAGAGAAGTTGTAGCCTTATTGAGAAACAAAATACATACAAAAAGATGTCAAAACAAAGTAGCAAATGAATAGTCCCAAATAAATATAATGATTCATGATCATTACAATGAGAGTTCAGGAGAAGAGAGTACTGTGAATTAAATCATCAGAGAAGATAATGAGTAGGCATATCCCTGAGCTACTCCTTGTTAGAAAGATACTATGGGGACACCTCGGTGGCTCAGTCAGTTGAGGAGCCAGCTCTTGGTTTCGGCTCACATTATGATCCCACGGTTCGTGGGATATAGCCCCACATCAGGCTCTGCACTGTCAGCTTCTCCCTCCCTCTCTTTCGGTCCCCCCCCCCCCCAAAAATGAATAAGCATTTATAAAAACAGATACTGTGATGTAAACATGAATAAGAACTAAAACTCACCTAACACTTGCTATGTGCCAGATGGCAACTCATCTAATCCTCAAAAGAGCTCCATGATGAGGGTGCCTGGGTGGCTCAGTCGGTTAAGCGTCCGACTTCAGCTCAGGTCATGATCTTGCGGTCCGTGGGTTCGAGCCCCGCATCGGGCTCTGTGCTGACAGCTCAGAGCCTGGAGCCTGTTTCAGATCCTGAGTCTCCCTCTTTCTCTGACCCTCCCCTGTTCATGCTGTCTCTCTGTCTCAAAAATAAATACATGTTAAAAAAAGAGCTCCATGATGTATATGCTGTTATCCTCTTTGGCGGGATGAGGAAGCTGAGCAAGAGGAACATTAAGGGACTTGCCTGAGGTCAGATAGAAAGCGAGTCATGGAGCTGGGACTCAGCTCCATCCAGGCAAGCCCTAGGGCCTAATCTCTCTGCTTGGTTGTTCTGACTGAGAAGAATGGCCAGAGCATAGAAGTGAAGGTGTAATGTGATGGCTGGAGATAGCAGAGAGGCCAGACTGACAGATGTGACAGATTTATTTAGAAATCTTTGCTCTAGGCCAGTGTATATTTCAGTGCAGAAATTCTTTATTTGGTTACGTTGCAGCTATGGTTACCATTCTCATTATATGTCCCTTAAGGAACTTCTTCCTCAAACTACTGTAGTAGAGAAAAACAGCCATGTGAAATGTTTTTTCATTGCTCTACACATCTTGTTAACTGCTGAAGAATCCAGTAACTTTTTTTCTTTTCTAGTTATCGATTGCTTGGGTCAAAAGTTATTTATTGTGAACTTTCTAGTATCGACGATAATACAATGACTTGGAGTGATAATCCCCCTCTATGTAGTAGTAAGTATATGCTTTCTTTTGAATTTAGAGGATTAGTCTTTAAAATAGCAGCACTTTCAACAGTAGCCAAATGATGGAAAGAGCCTAAATGTCCATCAACTGATGAATGGATAAAGAAATTGTGGTTTATATACACAATGGAATACTACTTGGCAATGAGGAAGAATGAAATATGGCCTTTTGTAGCAACGTGGAGAGTGTTATGCTAAGTGAAATAAGTCATACAGAGAAAGACAGATACCATATGTTTTCACTCTTTTGTGGATCCTGAGACTTAACAGAAGGCCATGGGGGAGGGGAAGGGGAAAAAAAAGTTATAAAGAGGGAAGGAGGCAAACCATAAGAGACTCTTAAAAAACTGAGAATAAACTAAAGGTTGATGGGGGGTGGGAGGGAGGGGAGGGGAGGTGATGGGTATTGAGGAAGGCACCTGTTTGGATGAGCACTGGGTGTTGTATGGAAACCAATTTGACAATAAATTTCATATTAAAAAAATAAAGTCTTATAGCAACAACAACAACAACAAAAATAAAATAAAATTTTGCTGTTGAGATCCCTTTATGCTTTTAAATTAATAAAAACCACAAAGAGCTTTTCCTATGCAGGTTATGTCTATTGATATTCATAATTATTTATTAATTCACTTTTAAGAACTGTAAGCTCAATGCATGTTAACCTATGCAACAATTTTTTTAAATGTTTATTTGTGGGAGACAGAAAGAGTGTGAGCAGGGAAGGGCAGAGAGAGGAGACACAGAATCTGAAGCAGGCTCCAGGCTCTGAGCTGTCAGCACAGAGCCCGATGTGGGGTTCGAACCCACAAACAGTGAGATCATGACCTGAGCTGAAGTCAGACACTTAACTGACTGGGCCACCCAGGCCGCCCCAACAAATTTTTTAAAAAAGCAGAATTTTCGGGGTGCCTGAGTGGCTTAGTACGTTAAGCGTCCAACTTCGGCTCAGGTCCTATCTTACGGCTCGTGAGTTCGACGGAGCCCTGCATTGGGCTCTGTGCTGACAGCTCAGAGCCTGGAGCCTGCTTCGGATTCTGTGTCTCCCTCTCTCGCTACCCCTCCCCCACTTGCACTCCATCTCTCTGTCAAAAATAAACAAACATCAAAAAATAAATAAATTTTAAAAAAGCAGAATTTTCCACAAGGAATAGAATAGGGTATTGTTTTACATTTTTGCAAATCTCTTCAAAATCTGGCTCAAAGGAAGATGTCTGGATTCAGTCGGTGGTGTTATCACACAATTTATAGTGTCTGGATGATTTCACCATAGACTTATATGGATAAAAGTGAAAACAGATAATAATATTTTGATACTGGGAACTATCAATTTAGTGAATGGTTATACAATTGACTCTTGAAAAGCACAGGTTTTAACTGTTGTGGGTCCACTTGTGGTTTTTTAACAGTACAGTATGGTAAATGTGTTTCTTCTTCCTCGTGGTTTTCTTAATAACATTTTCTTCTATCTAGCTTGTTTAATTGTAAGAATACAGCATATACTACATATACCAAAAATATGTGTTAATCAACTTTTTATGTTCTTGGTAAGGCTCTGGTCAGTAGTAGCCTATTAGTAGTTAAGTTTGGGGGGAATCAAAAGTTGTGAGGAGTTTTAACTGCAGGGGATCAGTTCTAACCCCAATGTTGTTCAAGTGTCAAGAGTATTTATAAATTATAAAGCATTTCTCAACTAGCACTGAGTTTTATTTTTAATCACAAGCATATTTGCTCATTAAAGCATCAGCGTCTCTTATGATGAGAACTTAGAATGGTCTTGCAGATAAACGTAGGTATTTCATATAGGTATCTTTTGTAAGTATTTAAGAAAATGAGTTTTATGCTAAAAGTTCATGTCTATATTAATGGTTTGAATTTGGAAGAATACGTTTTCTCACAGAAACTTTCTTGTAAATGGATATTGGATTTATAGCCAGCTTGTAGAAATCATGTGTTAATGAATTTATTGAAGGCAGTTCATAGGACTTCACTAATGTCACCTTCATCTTTTCCTTTCCTTTTGCCTTTCATGTCCTTTTTTTTTTTTTCATTTTTTAAGGGATATTGTGTCTACCACCCCCAAAAATAACAAATGGGAAATATACCAATAGTGGCAAGGAAGAATATGAATATAATGAAGTGGTAACTTATAGTTGTGATCAATCAAGTGGATCAGATGCATATTCACTTATTGGAGAGAGCAGACTTGTTTGTACCGGAAATGGTGAATGGAGTGGTAACCCTCCGCAGTGTAAAGGTAATACTTCCATTTTCTTCCTTCTTCATTTGTAAATATTTTGGAAACACTTGGTAGATACCTACTTACAAGTAAACAAAACAGCCCCATGTGCTTGTTCCTCCTGTTAAATTGGTTTCTAATTCAATTTAATACAGGTAAAATTGACTCAAAAATAGTTCTATTTATAGAGTTCCCCAGCCCTTACCCTACACATTCTTAGCATTCTAATGTATTTATTGTGAACTCCTCTGTGTATGCATGAGTTAGGATTTTTTTTTTTTTTTTTTTTTTTTTTTTTTTTGGGAGAAACATCAAAAAAAAACAGCACACACTGGCTTAAAAATAACAATTCTCTGTTACAAGATGTTTGAGAGTTCGGGCTATAGGAAATGGTAGAATAAATTGTAAAAGACTACCCATCTCACAAACAAGAATAACAAACCCTAGACAAAACATATTTAAAAATTAATGTATAAGGGTCTAGAGAGTGACGTAATGCGGGGAGACACAGGAGGGGATTTGATTGTTAGAAGAAAGGGACCACTGAAGAGCAGTAAAATATTTACTCTGTTCAGGTACACATGGAACATTTTCTAATACCATATTCTATGCAATATGATAGTTAAAAAATTTTTTTAATTGAAATGATTCAGAGTGTAATATCAGATCACAATGGAATGAATGTAGAAATCAAAGGTATCTATAAAAGTCCCAAATATTTGAAAACGATGCAAGACACTTCTAACCAACTCATGAGTCAAAGGAGACGTCACAAGGAAAGTTGCAAAATGTTTTGACCTGAATAAAAATGAAAAGACAACATATCAAAATCTCACTATTTGTGGGATACAGCAAAAGCATTACTTAGAAGGATATTTATAGCCTGAAATACTTATATTAGAAAAAAGTCTCAAACCCACGATCTAAGCTTCCACCATAAGAAACTAAAAAAGAAGAAATTAAGCTCATTATGACATTCTGGAAAAACAACTCCATAGGAATAGACAACAAATCAGTGTTTGGCTGGTTGGTGAAGGTGGTTGTGGGGGTGGGAAGGGTT